TATTTTTAAACTCAGGAATAAAGAAAACAAGAAAAGGCATATGTAAATCTTTCTATTCTGGTCCTGGCTGGGAATCTAGCCATAAAGCTAACTGGTAAAAGAGAAGAAAATGATTGCTCTTACCTATCTTTTGTTCCCATTCAGCATCCTATTCATGATACAATATCAAAAAGAATTATGAAATATTCAATTATCTCTCTCTCATTCAGATGACTAGAAATGAAACATCTTGGTAAGATGGGGAAAAGAGAAACCTAATTAGCTACTGTTTATGCTGTGGCTCAGTACATGCTCAATCCTAAACCTGCCACCCACACTGGTCCCTCAACCAAATGAAATATCCTTCACCTGGTTTGAACTGCTATAGCACATCAGATTTTTGGGGTATTATTATCTGGCCTGTTTTAAACGTACTAACTACCACTACCTACACAAAATATTTGGGCAAGATCTAAGTGATCTTAGCACAATCCTCTCATTACTGACAGTTGAGAAATTGGCCTAGAAAGGTTACATTAGGTAACAGTGGCACAGTGTAACAGTGTCAAATTAGCTGTAACCAGAACTAGAACCTGGTCTCCTGACTTCCAGTTCATGCTACATTGAGTATTTCTTTTAATCAACTAAACTGAACATGATGTAAGGTGTTTTTAGGAAAAGGGAGCTTCAAAATAAGAAAAAGTTTTCAAATTCAAGAGCAGATAGGATGAAAGCAAAGAATTTTGGAAAGCCATTTTCCACCAGACACAAAGTTGAGGATCTAGAGCCAGGGTTGGGTACTCATTGCCTTACTTTGGCAAAATATGATGACTAATACTTTTTGGTGCAGTGGAGAGAGAAAAAAGTTCTTAAAGCTGTAGGTGACTTCCCATGGTGACTCTCAGAGGTAGAGAGATGATTCTTTGTTTAGGGGAATATTTTCATAGGCCACTTTTGATACAATAGGAGCTTTCAGGACATTGTTTGACCTGACCCTACCCTGACCATTACCCTAAAAACTTTGGTCTGAAGGTCTGCTACACAGATGTGTTGATGGTATCGCAGGGGCGGGAGGAGGGTGGGGGTCAGTACAGGTGATACAGCAGAGATGGAGAAGCCAGAGAAGTGGAGAGCTAGAGCCAGAGGATATAAGATCCTCCATCTCTAAAAGAAAAGATACTGAAGAATTATTTCATCATGTTAGGATTAAAAAGTTCTATTTAAATCAATAGAAAGGTTGGGATACCTAGTCAGCTGTGGTGTAGTAAATTGCTTGGTATGGCTCTTCTAGCCATGGTCTTTGCGACTCCCACCAGATGACTGGGTGGAACTATGCAAATGTAAGGTGCTTCTGGTCCACCAAGGGGCTGGATAGCTTACTAGTAAATAAGGTACATGGCACCCTTGTGGGGTGGGCCATGGAAATAAGGTGTCAGGAACCCTAAGGTGAGGAGGATTGGTCAGTTTTGCCATCCCTCCACTAGATGTAAAATGAGCCATCCCAGAGGCAAGAGGGGATCTCACTGCCATCAAAACAGAGGAGCTGGGAGTAGAGCACATCCTTGGAACTGAGATCTCTGCACTGAGATGACACAGAGACAGCAGAGAAACAAGAGAACAGCAGCAGAACCAATAGAACTGAGAGACTTGCATGGGACAGAACAGGGGGCTTGCCGGCCCATGGAGTGAGAACGCTGAGTGTCTTTGGGTAGGAGGGCTTGCTGGTATGGGGCACAGCTATCAACAGAGCTAAAAGAGCTTTCTAACACTTGCCAGGGCAGGGACGAGGCCAGGCTGAGATCCAAAGAGAGGTATGCCTTCAGGCATGGCTGAGGGGAGACTGTCCTGATCAAAGAATTACATCCTGAGGGTTCCTGAACCTGAACAGTAACCTGTTACTTCTCTAATAAACCCCATCATAGCGAGTATTGCCAGTGAGTTCTGTGTAGCCATTGCAACAAATTATCGAACCCAGAAGAGAAGTAGAGAGTGCCTCAGGAAGGGTTAGTGTCAGAAATGGTAAGGTTTGGAGGGTGGTAGTATGTCTGACTTCCACCTCATAGGAATCAGCCTTGGGTTGATGGTGAGTCTCTCCTTTGTGAAGTTAGGGGAGATCACAGGATGCTGCCCCATGCACTTTTTGCAGCAGCTGACACCTGAATTATACTAATACAAGCCATCCTCATGCACAGAAACCAAATTCCTAGCCATCCCTTATTACAGGGAAGGCTCACTCCAGTGACAGCTGGAGTTGTCACTACAGCCTGTAAGGAAGGAATGGCCAGGAATTTGGTTCCTATGAATGATGATCACTGGCAAGGCTCTCACTTTTGGTCCTTCTGTCATTGGCTGGCTTTCCTCACTAGCTTACTGTACCCCTCAAGAGATACAAACCTATCTGATAAGAGTCACTACAGCTTGATATTACTTTTTAAGTTATTGAAAAGTGAAGGCAATACCCCAACTTTACCTATTAAATTATAATTTTTTATTAATTTTGAGTATATGTCTAGAAATGATGGGCCCAGTATTAAAAAAGAAAAAAAAAGCACATCTAAAAACGCTAGCATTAACATAAAAAGAAGTTTGCTTTTGTCACTCTGTCATTTCTGTACATTTAATTTTATCAGGTAATTTCTACATGAAATTCATTAAATATCCATTTAAGTCTTCTCCCAAATGGGAATTTATTTCCATTATAATACATTAAGACCACTGTAATTTTCACCCTCAATTAATAACAGAAAATATATTTTTATACACATAAATCTACTTCACAAGTTTACCATAAAGGATTAAATGAGGCAACATATGTAAAGCAGTTCAATTAGTGTTACAAATAAGCACTAAGTGTTAGCTAGTAATTTTCTTTACTCACATATGTGCTCATCCACACATACATACACATGTTCACACGTACCCACAAAGGTAAAAAAAATTGACTTCTTCTATACTCACATTATGGTTATCTTTCTGTCAACACATTCCTTTTGGCTATAAGGTTTCATGGGAAATAATTTAATCCCTGATATCTTTAGTGTGACTAAGTATTTATCTTTCTATTTTATTCTATTTCAAACAGTGCTGCAATGCATATCCTTATTCATACTGTCTTCACTCACGACATTTTTTCCTAACAAATTCCACAGAGGAAATAAAACCCCTCAGCCTTAAGGTAGGCCCACACATACAGCAGAGGAGGCAATAGTCTGAAGGAGAAGGAGCAGGAAGAGCCAATGAGGTAGCAGAGAAGCAGGACACTGTAATGGGTAGGACATTAAATGAAAAAGTTTCAAGGAAAAACAATGGGTTGATAGCATCAAATAATGAAGAAAAGCCAAAGAGAAAGAGGAATAAAGGGCTATTAGGATGAACAATTAGGAATGGAGAAAGCGATTTCAGTGTAATATTAGGGCAAAAAAAAACAGATTTCAAGAAAGATGAAAGAAATACTCAACTAATATACATGATTTTTTTTAGAAGTTGATAAGCAATGGGAAAGAAAAATAGAACAGCAGCTTTAGGAAGCAGAATATGCAAAATCAGATTCAAGAAAAATAATGAGAAACATTTATTCATTAAAATAAAGAGCTGTGGCAGTTTGCCTATAATTACATTTTAAAAATTAACATTTGGTTACCATTTTACTTAAATAAAACTTCTTTCTAGCACTATGAAAGTTTAAAAAATAGGGTTTAAAAGTTGAAAAGTCCCATGTGTACAAGTTATACGCATTAAGGTTATTCTTAAGGCAATTAATGGGAAAAAAAGTTTAGACTACATAAATTGTCTCTATTATCTTAAATAATATGATTATTGAGAAACAAATCTGAAAGATTTTTTAAATGGGAAAAGTATTCATTTTAATTATGTTCCAAGATGTTACAGAACTAGAAATTAATACATTTCAAGTAGTATAAAATAGATATTATTGTCAATATTCAGTCATTAATACAACCCAGGTAAATGAAACATCACTTCATATGAGGCTCAGTTATTCTAAAATACTATTTTAATTTCACACATGTCCTATAAAATGATAAATACTTAAAAATTACAATGCAAGGGAAAATATTACAAAAAATACAATTGTTATAGACAGACCCCTGTATGAAAGGTTTTTATTTTTAAAGTTCTACCTTAGGGAATAATACCATACTACATATCAGAAGCAAAAATAAACTATGTTCCTTGAGGTTACAATGCTCAGCAATATACGGGATGTGATCTAACATATTATGTCTGATGAGCATCCAAGGAGAGAGAGAGAGAGAAGGCCTTCAATGATGGTTAGACAGAGAAAAAAAAGGGAGTAATCAACCATTCTATGCCAATTTCTAGAATAGCCTCATTAAACAATTTACATCACTGGCAGGAGATCTGCAGAAGAAGGGGGAAAAAGGAGCCCAATCTCAGCTTCACATAAAGGATTTCCAAATAAGCACGCACTCAGGCAATTCTACAAGGCACAGTTCCCAATGCTCTCCACTCTTTACCCTTTTATGTGGACTCCTTGTCTTAAATCCCTCTTTTTCCCCCCTTAATTTCTTCAATAAGGCTTCACAAAGCACACTTTGTTTTCTATCATCCAACACCAAATGAAAGGCATTAAGGAAAACAATAGAATTTACCAGTCTGGTCAGTTCTAAAGACACAAATTTTGGTTTGATATTAATCATGAGATTCTGCCATGTTCATCTCTCTTCTGCACATACTCTCACCCCTCTTCCAACCCCCTTCCCTGGCTTATTGACTCCATCATCAATTATGAGGGAATATGAAGTTTTACGATTTTATTCCCCTCATCAATGATTTGCCCACTGGCAAGCTGCTTTGGCAGGCAGCAATATTAGGAATTGTTTGCAACGCTTAGTCAGAACAGATGAAAAAGATGAGATCAGTGAATTATTGTAACCTATTGTAGTAGGCTTCTGCAGACAGGAAGAATTCACCTTATAGACTTCCCTCTATTCATTTCAGAAGGGAGAAAAATGTGCCTTGAAAAGGAAAGGAAAATAATTAGATAAGTAAACACAGTAAAATATTAATACTGTAGGAAATCAGCAGGGAAGGGAATGCTTATAATCGACCTACCTTGTTGGGGAATTTCTGGTATGAAAATCAAACTTTCTCTCCCCTTATTTTTTGCACAAGATTAATGAACAGTTGTTCTACATCAAGAGGGGCAGAAAGCCACTTAAACACTTTTCTTCACAAGGTGGGGAATTTCTTTTTGAAATGAGCATTAGAGAAAGGAGGACAAGGTAGGAAAATCTCACTCAAAGAGGTCCTTAAACATGCGTTGTCCCATTGCTATGTATGCTTCCTTCTCCTCTGGTGTCATTTGGGCCACCAGCTCTGGCCGCTGGCTCACTTCACTGTAGGAGAATGGACGGCCAGCCACCATGACTATAGGATCATCTGCCACCTCCTCAAACTCATCATCCTCCTCATCCTCTTCCCGATGGTGCACAGCCACTGCCGCTGGACGGGGTGGAGAGTCATCATCTGACTCACTAGTTTCACTCTCCGAGTCGCTTCCATTGGCCGTGGTCGAAGGAGCAGCTGCCCCCATTGAGCCAGCCGTGGCAGAGGGAGTTTTCTTCTCATGAATGAGCAGTGCTCGCATGACCTCCTCATTATCATCCGGCCCTGCACGGCCATCCTCGCGCTCATGAAATGTGTCTATATCTATGCCACCTGAGGGGAAAATCCAGAAAGTTAATACCCTCAAATATGAAGGGCACACCTATAACTGTAGGATAAAATAACAGTCTACACTAGGTCTGCTTTTTGAGCCACTATCCATGAGTTCTTCAAAATGTTTCTTACACACTGAAGCTTAAGAAGCGTAATGGTTAGGTACATAGATTTTTAGCAATAATAAGCCTACATTTGAATATAGGTTCTTCCACTTGCAAACTATACCACCCTGGCAATTTATTTAGTCTGTAAACTGCAGTACCTCTTTCCATAAAATGGAATGATAAAAGTGTCTATCTTTTTAGGATTCTGGATAACAACATATTGAATAATGTCTATAATGGACCAAAGTGTAGTAGCTGACAAAGAAGGAAATCAAAACATGGCTCCTCATCTTGTGCAGAGTAAAAGCCAAAACCTTACAGCAGCCTGTAAGATTCTACACAATCTGAAATCCCTCCTTTCCCCCTGCAACTTATCTCTTGTCCTTCTCTTTGTTCAGTCTGCTCCAACCACAGTGGCCTCTGTGGTACTTTTGTACGTACCAGACACACTCTTACTCACTTCAAGGCCTTTGACTGCCTATTCCCTCTGCCTGGAATATCTTTCCTCTAGTCATCCATATGGCTAACTTCCTCCAATTTTTTAATGCCTTTGCTCAAATGTCACTTTCTTTTAACTCATCCCCATTCCCTACATTCCCAATCCGCTTTACCCTCCCCTCTATTTTTTCCATAGCATTTACTTTCTAAAACGATAAGTAACATATGTCTTTTGTCTCTCTTTCCCTTTCCCAGGAAGTAGGTTGTACTAGGATAGATATTTGTCTTTTTTCATTTACTGAGACATCCTATGCCCCTAGAATTGTGTCTGTCATTTGTTAGGCACTGAATAAATATTTGCTGAATGAGTAAATGGCAGTTTAATTTTCCTGAGGTAAACAAGGCACAGTCTGAACTCTTTATAAAAAGGAATCGAATATCTGAAATGAAGCTTCTCTCACCGTACACCTCCTTTCATTCTGAGTAAACAACTTGTCTGATATACTGCAGAAAAACAAACTGAGAAAAATGTGTATTTTAAGTTCTGATAATAGTACCAAACATAATACCATCTAAAATACAAAAAATATTGTTTGGAATCCAACTTCCTGATTCAAATCCTGACTCTGACAATTACTGACTATATGAGTTTGGCCAAGATACTTCATCTCTCATTGCTTCAATGTTCTTAACTGCAAGAAGGGGAAAAAAAAACCCATCTACTTCATTGGGTTATTTTAGGGATTAAGTGATTACTTGTGAAGTGCTTAGAATATGCCTGGTACATACAATAGCATTACCTACCATCATCATCATCAAGAGAAGCCTCAGAAATGCCCAACTCTGGCCATGGATAAGTGAAAGCATCTTCTCATTAGCACATTAGAATGGACTAGCTATATAATGTTGGGCATTTGAGAAGCACTAAATTCCTGAGATGAAACATTAGGCAGACAAGAGAGAAAAGAATTGAGAAGTTAAAGGTTCTAGGTCAGGGAAAATGGGCTTTTGGTAACATGGATGAAAAAATTAGAGTTAAAATCGAACTTACCTACTTCAAAACATTGCTATAGGCTAAACCCTCTCCCCAGAACCAATGCAGTATTTCAATAGAAAGGAGAAAAAAAAAAAAACCATGGAATGTATGCGCGTCTTCAAGACAATCATTATTTCTAACAGAATGTTCCAAATAACTTAGTATTACCAACATAGTATTTTGGTAAATGTTTAAAATAAATATAAAATTAGGGGAAAAGCATATCAGTTTTTATAAACTGAATGAAATCATATCTAAGGGAACTGTGACAATGGTCTTCAGAAATTTTTAGGGTGAGAAAGAATTGCTTTGTTATATGCGTAGGAAGGAAGAAACAAGGATAAAAGAGCACATCTCTGGATGGAAAAGTAGAAACAGTAGTGCTCAGAACATTCTTATTTTATAGAGCAATAAATTACAAAGAAGACGTATTCTATGAAACTGTCAAGTTCACTGAAGATGACAAGCAATTCTGGATACTTAAATGCCAAGCTGACAGCAAAATATGTAAGAGGGCTGAAGGTTGTGTAAGTGGGCAGAAAACTGGCAGATCTACTTCTGTACTGGCAAGTGTAAGAAAATCTGTCTGCAAAAAATAATCTAAAATATACTTACAGACATAATCCAAACTATCAGATACAGGTCAAGAAACAGTCCTACAAGTCCCTGTACAAGTTTCTAAAGTCGCTGGTCTATGTGCTTCCAGAACTAAAGTAACAAACATCAGTTAAGAATCAGAAGGATACTGGAAATAAAACTCAAATCATTAGTGGTGAAAGAAACCATGCATAGAACAACATGTAGTGTTCTGGTTATTGAGTCTCAAGTAAAGTATATTGCAATTAGAAATGTTCTAGAAGAAAGAAAAAACAAAAACTGTGGGTGTAGGAAACTTGAGTACCAGGGAAAAGTAAATCAAAAGGAATTAGAATCTTCATTATAGCAATGGAGACATGATTGAAGTCTATACAATTCTCAAAGATATTAACATGACTGAAGTTTGAGAAAAATTAAGTTTAGGACAAATACGACTCACTTTACACAATCACTGGATGGAGGCTGTTCTACTAGCATGAACCTTAATGAAGAAATTTAAACATGAGAGCATACTATCCTGTCACATATAGAAAGAAATATTCACAAAACTTAGTTGGGTAGACTTACTTAAGGCTCTTCTGATTCAAATTCTATGATTCTAGAAATTAGAAACATTGACTATTAAACAGATGAGCCTAATTGTATATAATATTAGTTAACAATAGTTTTGTTACTCAATTTTGTTTCTACATTCAAAGAAGAGAAAGTTCAGTTGCTTCAACAACAGGCAGGAAGTTAGGAAAAACAAATCTGTTAAACAATTGTACAAGCTAACAACTATCTAATCTAGAACAATCTGAACCAAAACAACTAAACATGATTAAAAACAAACAAACCCGTTGACACTGAGTTGATTCTGTTCATAGCAATCCTATAGGGCAGAGTAGAACTGCCCCATAGGATTTCCAAGCCTGTGCAATCTTTACAGGAGCAGACTGCCACATCTCTCTCCTGTGGATTGGTGGGTTTAAACTACCAACCTCTCCATTAATAGCTAAGTGCTTAATGACTGTGCCACCAGGGCTAATCAGTGAGTAGGAGGGAGAGTAAAGTATGATTGCCAAGAAAAACTTTTCTGCATTGGAATTAAAACATCAAAGAGAATTACATTAGAGGTATCCCTGCTTTTATTATCACTATCCAGTTCTACCCTAAGAAGCCCTGGTTGCATAGTGGTTAAAGCATTCAGCTACCAAAAACAAACAAACTCACTGCCATCAGGTTGATTCCAACTTACAGAGACCCCCTTTGGGTTCCTAAGGTGGTTAATGTTTATGGAAATAGATGGCCCCATCTTCCTTCCACAGAAAGGATGGTGGGTTTGAACCTCCAACTTTCTGGTTAGCAGTCAAATGCCTTAGGCAATGAGCCACCAGAGCTCCTTGACTTAAAGGAGGTAGAGAGACCCCCTTTCACCTCTGCCTTCTTGAGTCATTTTTGTTCAGCCTTGGCCTCCCATTTACTATACCTCTAAAGTATCACCATTCACAAGCTTTGAATCCAATAACTTAAATTAAAATTAAAAAAAGTAAAATCTTGCAGTTTTCAAATTTCTGAAAATTACTATGCAATTCTCCACCTTTTATGGCTCAGAGAGATTTCCACAATTTTCTAAAATAAAGTTCTCTCAGTCTTCTTAAAGTGAGAAAATGTCAGATCTGTAATCATTGTGGTATCTTTTTGCATACTTCAGATAGCAGAAACTTTTTGGTATTTCTATGACATAATATAAAGGTTGTACTAGTACATAGTTATGGCTCTCAGTGCAAAAGAAAATGCATTCAAAATTTAGGGCCACTAAGATTAAAGAAGAGGTGAATCTGGCCACTTTGAATAGAACAGTAGTTTTCTAAGAAACTAAGAAAAAGAGGCAGCAATTCCTCAAATCTAAAGTGGAAATTTAAAAAGCTATTTGTTATTTCAACTATGTAAGTATATTGATTGGTTTTAATGCTTATTGTTTAATTTCCTACTTCCTGTTATAATTAATTGTTTTGTAAAACAGATGCAGTGAATTATCAATAAAACTACAGGCAATTCCCAGGTTATGGACAAGATCTGTTCCTCAGCATGCCTTTTAAGAATTTGTAGGTAAGTCAGAATATGTGCACATGGTTCTTATTTAGCCTTACTTTAGTGCAAGAAAAGGCTTCAAGCCTTTTCAATGATTTTAAAGCTGCACACACAGCAAATGAAGGTGATTATGATGAAGAATTTGTGTCCAGTATGGGTTGGTTCAAGAGTTTCAAAATGAGGGCAAATTTATATAAACATTAAAAGGCACGTAGGAGCTGTCTGTAAGAAACCTGGGGACTGCCTATAATTAAGAACACCCAGGGAACTGCTCTCTAAGTCAAGTTCATTTTCTAAAGAATCCAAGACATATCCATTTTACTGACTTCTACTCTTACCTTGGGAGTTCTGGTAGCATAGTGTCTAAGGCGTTTGACTGCTAACCAGAAGGCTGGTGGTTCAAACCCACCAGCCACTCCTCGGAAGGAAGACGGGGCAATCTACTTCCATAGTGATACTGTCTCGGAAACCCAAGGAGGGGTCGCTATGAGTCAGGTCCAACTTGACGGCACATTACAACACAAGAACAACTCTTACCTTCTTTCATATCTTCAGAACTATATGCTCCTTGGACTGTGCTCTCTCTCAACCAAATGGGTCTCTCTTTGGCAGATTTTCCCTCCAGTGAGGCTCGATGAAGATCTTCTTGGTCATCCATGTTAATGACAACATTCTGAGTGTATAAATCCTCATAGGAGGGGCCTTTAGTGGCCCATGCTTCCCGATGGTGCCCACCTGCCAGGCCAGCAGCTCCAGCAGTAGTTGTTGCACGGTCCTTGCTATATAAAATGATTAGAGCAGGACAGGAAGAGGAAAAATTAAAGTCTTGGTACTGGAAAAAAAGGGCAACTGGGGAAGTGGCTACTGAAGTATTACAAATAAATGCTACCTAGCAATCGTGTACAGATACTTTAACAATTCTCACAAACCTCTCTTACTTCTCAGGGTGAAAGGATGTATATAAATGACTGAGGTTTTATGGATTAAGATGTGTCAATAAATCTACTTAAGGAGAAGGGGAATGATATGGTGACATAATCACTTAGGCACACTAGTCTGGCAAAAATCTCTCGTAGTAACATCTTTCCTTACTATTTTGTTTTAAAAAAATAAGAAAACATTAGAAAGCATTAGAAAACAATGCTATATTTCACGTGTATGTGTGTGCATGTGTTCAGTTTTGAGATGGGACCATAATGGACTTTTTATATTAGCTTTATTGAGACATAATTCACATATCATACTATCAGCCCATTTAATATGTATACCTTGATGATTTTTAGTATATTCCCAGAAGTATGCAACACTTACCACAAATTTTAGAATGATTTCATCACCTCCTTGTACCCGTTAGCTATCACCTCCATATCTCTCCATTTCCCTCAGCCCTAAGTAACCACTAATCTACTTTTTGTCTATTCTGGACATTTTATATAAATGGAATCAGATAATATCTGGTCTTTAGTGACTAGATTCTTTCACTTAACATAAATATTTTCAGTGTTCATCAACATTGTAGCATGTATCAGTATTCATTCCTTTTTATGGCCAAATAATCCGCTGAATGGATATTGCTTTGGTTCTCTAGTGCCCCTCTAACAGAAGATACCACAAACGAGTTGTCTCAACAAACAGTGATTTATTCTCTTACAGTTTTTGCAGGCTAGAAGTCTGAGTTCAAAGTGTCACACTCTAGAGGCTGGATGAAAGCCCTCTGACCTTGGGGTTCAGCTCTGCCTTTTGCTCCCAGCCTACAGGAGCTTAAGGCATCTCTTCAGTCAGGTAGCTGCTGGCTGCTGAGGCTAACAAGCCCAAGGTCAACAAATAAAATGGCACAGACCCAAGATTACCAAACAACATGGCAGGCCATTAGTTCAAGTCCAAAGACAGTCCCAAGATCGGCAGGAAACATGGCAGGCTGCTAAAAGAAGACTTGGCTACATGCAGGGTCCAAGTATACCAAAAAGCTGCAGACCATTCTCAAAGCTTCTCCTTATATACTGGGCAAGCAGATCATATCCCTAAAGCAGCTACTGAGCTGCTCATGGCATATTCCACCATGGAGTTAACTTCCAGTCTCATCATGGGGAAAAACTACATCCAGCTGCTCAGCCACTCAAAACCGGGCCCAACCAAGTTGACACATACACAACCTAAACTACTACAGATATATCACATTTTGTTTATCTATTCCTCAGTTCATGGACACCTGGGCTCTTTCTACCTCTTCATGAATAAAGCCACTATAAACATTTGTGTACAAATTTCTGTATGGATGAAAGTTTTCATTTATCTTAGGTATATACCAAGGAGTAAGCTGTTGGGTCTATGGTAACTGTTTAATCATTATAAAAACACATTATATTTTTAAAAATATTCTCCAGAATAATTTAAGAGCTCAGCCATGTTCTTTCCTTTCTTTCATAAGGTTGACTACAGAAGAGGCTAGAAAGTATTCTACAAAGCCAGCCCTCAACTTAGAGTTCAAGTTCTTCTCCTGCCACTTACCTAGTCAGGTATGCCTCTCTGCACTAATAGCAACCTCTTCACCTGTTAGCGATCATTCCTTGCCTTTCTTCAGTCACTTATGCTTTCTGATCTCAATGAGTTAAGCCAAGTTGTCAGTCTTTTGGCTGCTGTTTTTACCTGCTTGCTTAACTCTCCATCCATTCCACAGCTTTTTAAATCCATCTGATCTACTGTGTGTCTGAGCTCATGCCTTGTCCTTCTCTGCCTGCTACTGACGCTTTCTGCAACACCTTCTATGTATGACTCACCCTCCCTCTGTTTGGACAGCAATGTTTCATCCTATAACCTATCTTCCTATTTCTTGAGCTGTCCACTCTGTGCCTGCTCTTACCTTTCTCCATATCTTCTGTGTTTCCTTTCAGTGTCTACTGACTGACTATTTTAGTTCCATGTTTCTCCTATACTTCTCTTCCATTCTTGTCCAAATCTTTTCCATGGATGCTGGACTGTTTCCTTTGTGGAGCCCTGTCTTAATACCTCTTCATTTGTATTTATACCCTATACCATTTTTCTGATAAGCCATTCACTATTTTTTGTTTCTCTTTGGCTCTACTTCATTTCTGCTTACGTCTTTATTCTCCTTTGCCTTTTGGGCCCACTTCATATCATCTACTTGGGTGTTTTGTCTCATTGCTTAACTGAGGTTTCTCTGATGTATATCTGTCCATATATCTTACTAGGCCATTATATCTCTGTTTTTGACTACCCTCTGATGGTATCCTTAGGCTTATCCACATCCTTCCTGCCCTGCCTCTGGGTATCTAGAGGCCCACTGCCACAACTGCTCTCTCTAGTTGTTCAGTCCGTGCTAATTTGGTCATTTAATCCATGTCTGCCAGTTATTGCCTCTGTATTCTTTTTGCTGCTCTAGCTGTACATGGTGCCACTTATATCTTTGTAAACCACTCACTCTTCTTCCCAGCACCCTGTTCTATTTGTTCCATATCTCTCAGTCACTTATTTTGCCTCCTCTGTATCTGTCTCATTGCTCCTACTCTGTACTAGTTAGTCTCCCACTCTGAGTCTAGACCTACAAGCCACCTCTCTCTGTAACCAATTTATTTGTCTTGCTGTATTTTAAACTCTTATGCTACAATTGCAAATAACTTTCTCTCTCTACCTTCTATTCACCTGTTATTTTTCTGCATTCACCTGATGTTACTTTTTGCACCATTTACTATGTTTATCTCAATTTAATCCATATTTGTCCCTCGTCATTGCTATCTGCTACCTGTTCCATGCTGTCTTCTAGAAGACTGTATCACTGCCTTCACTGCAGTCTTACTCTGCTTATGCTGGTACAGGTTGGCTTTTTGAATTTAGGCATTCCCTTGGCACTTACTTTTCTTTTCCCTCTTGGCCTGATCTGTGCTTATGTGTCTGCGTGTTCACTCTACAAGCTGAGTTTCTCCTCTTGCATCAATTTTTCTCCATGACACCATTTGAATGCCTCTTATAAACGCAGCCAATGCCCTTTCCTTGTCATCCTGAGCCTGCTCTATATAGTGGTCTATCCATCAGTGTGGTTTCCTGAGCTACCCACATGCCTTTTCTGTCTGTTTCCAACCATTCAATGTTTCTCTAGCTCTGATGTGGCCAACTAAATTCCAATCTTCATCTGTCTCTGTTCATCCAGACTATCCATTTACTCTTTCTGAGACTACTCTGTTTCTCATCACATATAATCACCAACACACGATTTTCATCTATACTCTGTCTTTAGAGGTAACACTAAAGACTCTCTTCTAAAGATTAGCAAGTATTCACTACCCTGGTCAAGAAGAACAAAAAGACTAGAGAAAAAGAACAGGAAAATTAAAATAAATGTTAGCAACAGACAACATTTTAAAAGTCTTCTATTTTCAGTACTCCTTTCAGAGAGTCAAGATTGGTTTTATTTTAGTTTGAGGCAGGATAAATTTGACCATAAATCAAGTCTCAAAATTTGGAAGAACATTTAAAAAAGATTTATTTAGCTATGAAGCACTGACTACACAGATTTAATTTCTACCTTCACCACAGACATAGACAAATCTAAATCACCAGCAAATGTGGCACTAGAGAAAATCTAGAGGAGAGACACCTGGGTTCACTCCTGCATATTACATTTTATCCTATGGAGAGAATGTACACATTTCTCTTGAAGATTAAAAAAAGTGACAATTCAGGTTTTAATCTTTTCACATTATTTAAAACATTTTAGAACTGTTAAGTTTTAAAAAACGTAACCCTTACTCAGGGGGTAAGGAAGGAGTATAATTTCAAAACTAAATTCTTAAACATCTTCAGGGTAAGTGTTAAGAGATGATGGAAAGGAGAGGTAACTGGCAAGGAATTCCATTTAAGTGATATGGGAAGACTTTCAATATCACCAATGAGTTGCCATGATGAAAGCCTGCAACTATCCATGAACTCTTGGTTAAGCCAACTGAGAACCCTGTAGATGCAGCTCTGATTGCTGATCTAGGACAAAAAACAAAACCAAACTCAATGTCATCGAGTTGATTCAACTTATAGCAACCCCTCCTTGGGTTTCCGAGGCAGTATCTCTATGGAAGTATAATGCCTAACCTTCCTTCCAAGGAGTGTGGCTGGTGGGTTTGAACTGCCAGCCTTCTGGTTAGCAGTCAAATGCCTGAGGCACTACACCACCAGAGCTCTGATCTAGGACAAGGTAGAATTTAATTGGCTACATATCTATAACCAAACCACTACTAATGTTTATTATTTAAAAAAAAAAAAAAAAATTCAATGAATTACTATCATCTCTAAGAACCCACATCACTGTATTGATGCTTTGCTTCTTGTACTTGGATACAATGGGCTATTACACAACTTTTATAGTCTGCAACAGATCCTACAGTATAGAAAGTCCAAATCAGCATCACTTCTAGAGTATTATATATAGGCAATAGAGTTTGTCCAATGCTTTGTGGGGTCATCTCAGTCAGGGAAACATCTTCTAACCCAGCTCCAATGGTCTTTCCTCAATCATGTAGAAATAACTGTAATTGTTCTGGCCAGCAACTCCATTCTGTCTCTCTTTCTGCCTCTATTTTCTCCTTTCTTCCTTAAGTCACCATATTGTTGGGAATCTTTTTTCCTAATCAGTTAATTTCCATTATCTCCTGATTCTTAATCCCTGGAGTCAGCACCCTTCCTGATTAGAGCCAGGTGACTTGATACAGTAAGCTGCTGTTGGGCCTCTGGTGCACTATAGCACTGGGATTTCTCTTAGGCATGGAGTAAGAGATATCTAAATAAAGATTCTGGAATGGGAAGTGGACTGTGATAGATGGTGAACATTAGAGGCAGATGTCAGTAGAGGTGGTGAATCAATTTTAGTACAGTGGGGAAGCATCTTAATAAACAAGACAAATACCAACTACAGGTACAAGTGGAAACATAAGAATGATTCATAGATAGTACTGTAGAAAGCAATGAAAGAGAATATAGTCATATTTCAACATGAAATGATCAAACCATAAACCAAAAGAGAAAAAAAACAAAAACAAAACTAGTGTCTACCAAGTCAGTTCTGACTCATGGCAACCCTTAGAATATTTTGTATTTTTGTGAAATCAATTTTCCTCATTGGCTTCATGTTAAAGCTACAGTATACTTTAAGGGGACAGATTTTTTTTTTTTTAAACTATTGATAAAAGACCATGTGACTAGTAACAAAAACTTAAGACTTCTAGTGATATGGCTGATACTGGATGCCCACCAACAGTGGCTCTTCCCCTTCTTTGCTTACTGATTTTTTTTTTGGATAACCAAAACCAAACCAAACTCACTGCTGTCAAGTCAGATCTGACTCAGCGACCCCTCCTTGGGTTTCCGAGGCAGTATCACTATGGAAGTAGATTGCCTAGTCTTCTTCTGAGAAGCGGCTGGTGGGTTTGAACGCCAGCCTTCCATTTAGCAGTCAAATGCCTTAGGCACTAGGACTATAGAACATTCCCCAGCCCCAGAAGGTCAGCTGGAACCTAAGAACCAATCATGTAATCTCATTTCCTTTGCCAGAGGCTGGTTTAGAAATAAGCAAATAGATTTGGGCCAGTGAGACAAAACAGTGGGATGAAGAAGGACTTCTGGCAAAGGTTTTGGTTAAAACAGGACATGTTGTTGTTGTTGTTATGTGCCATCGAGTCAGCCCTGACTCATAGCGACCCCTCCTTGGGTTTCCGAGGCAGTATCACTACGGAAGTAGGATTGCCCAACCTTCCTTCCCAGGAGTGGCTGGTGGGTTTGAACCGCCAGCCTTCTGGTTAGCAGTCAAGTGCCTTAGCCACTATGCTACCAGAGCTCCCAAAACAGGACACAGGATGGTCCTTTTACCTGTACTTGTACATTATCATATAACTGTGATGTCCACAAAAGCATGGCCATCTTAGGCTAACTCTCCTCAGGTTATAAGAGGGCATATTCAGCAAAGAATAAAGACACAACAAACCCTGAAAATGTTAATTGAGCTGTGAAATTAACCAATTCTAAACCACACTACCTCAGGACTTCTGGTCATGCACGGTTAAGTTTTTCTTATTGTTTAATCTGCCTCTAGTTGATTTTTCTGCTCTGCACAGCAAAAAGCAACTGAATGTAATACATGGTGCTAGAATACAAAATTCATAACTTGCACAGTTATAAAATATGCCGTACAACTGGACTGTGTTTAACTACCCAAAAGAAACTCACTGTGCTCAAGGACTGCCCAGGACTGGCTATTCTATAGCATCAATACCAGAAGGAATAAAATACTAAGAACCAAAACCCAAAAATCCACTGCCATGGAGTCAATTCCGATACATAATGACCCCTATCGGGTTTCCAAGGCTATAAATCTTTACAGAAGTAGATTGCCTCACCTTCCTCCTATGGAACAGCTGGGAGGTTTAAACCACCGACCTTCTGTTAGCCTACATGCCTTACCCACTATACCACCAGAACTCCTAAAAGAGCTCCTGAAAATTCTACAAGTAAAACCTGAACCTTTTGACTCTGCAGAAGGGAATAGGTGAACTCTAAGCCCTCAGCTTGACCCTAGTAAGAAGGAGAGAAAAAAAAATGGCAGCATAGGAAAGCACTCCCTGAGTCCAATTCTTATTTATGCTTTCAAAAAAGAATATAAACCATTTCTTATGACATAGCAAAACTAAGGCAATTCAAAATTAGGCATACCGATAACAACAGGGAGCCATAGTTAGTGTTAACCCATTGGTAAAATCTAATACACTTCAAGTTTAAGGAAGCTGTATTTAAAACTAAGAAAGGGAAAGAAATGAGTGCTCAAAATACTTCAGAAACAAAAAACAGAATGGAGAAAGCTGTATTCCTTAAAAGAACTTCAGCCCTCAGAAGTTGGCTAAGACAATTCAAATATCCCCAAAAGGTACAACTAATTTGTTGTTGTTGTTGTTATGTGCCGTTGAGTCAAACCCAACTCATAGCGACCCCTCCTTGGGTTTCCGAGGCAGTATCACTACGGAAGTAGGATTGCCCAACCTTCCTTCCGAGGAGTGGCTGGTGGGTTTGAACCGCCAGCCGCCTGGTTAGCAGGCAAGTGTGTTAGCCACTATGCTACCAGAGCTCCCACAACAACTAATTTAGGGTTAGCTAACAATTGGCTAAATCACAGCAAGCCCAAGCAGTGAGTACTTGAAGTCAAACCTGACTATTTAAAGATTTCTGCCTAGAGGCCCTCTGCATTCAGGAGAAATGAGTAAGACAAGGCAGAGCTTAGAACCTATGTAACATTATAGGCTTTACTCTCCTGGTAGATTACCTACTTGTACCTGCTCTCCAAGTACAGGTAGTTAAGACAAAGATAAACTTTGTAAGACCGCAAGGCCTACTCTCACCTCTGTTTCAGCGCTGGGATTTCTGTGGGTTCTGGTTCAAGTATTTCATAGGCCAAGTTCACATCTTCTGTCTGCCGAAGCAGTGCATAAATAGGCTCAATTTGTTCATTAAACCTTGCCAAAAGTGTGCGTGCATCTTTTTTGGGCATTGCTGATTCATCCTCTTCTACCTCCGTCTGACAAAAAGTACAGCGGAAAGTTCCTACAGAGAAAAAAACAAGTCTCCAGTCAGGGAAGTGAAGTCCTCAAAACAAGTTTTAGCCAACACTTTACACCACCACCATGCCCAAATTTATTATAAAAACCCTTCAAGTATATGGAAAAGTTGAAAGAATTTGAGTGAACACCCAGGTGTTCATCTAAATTCTGTAATTAACATTTTGCTACAATTGACTGATCACATCTATCCATCTATTACTTTTTGATGTGTTTCAAAGTAACTTCAGTATAACAGTTTTTAATCACATTCTGTCATATTGGTACTTATTTTAAGGTAAAAACAATTATTTTACAGTTTATCATCTGAACCTGTACCTTTTCCCAATGGCATCTTTTTAGCACATTACACATTTCAGTTTACATGATGGAAAAAGGCAAAGAAATAGCTAAAACAGGTGATATTATGCATTGTTATGAGGCTATTTTTTCAAACTTATGAAGCATTTAAGTCTAAAATTTTACCAATCCATGCTCAAAACTAACATGTAAGAAAAACTTTTTCTTATTTCTATATTCATTACATCCAATTGGTAACTAAATTATATGAATTCCTTAAAAATATCTCAGATTTTTCACATCTTCTGTCATTTCATTTGTTGTTGTCAGGTGCCGTCAAGCCGTCTTCAACTCACAGTGACCCTATGCCCAGCAGAACAAAACACCATCTGGTCCCACGCCAGCTCCACAATCCTTGCTATACCTGAGCCCATTGCCGCTGCCACCGTGTCAATCCATCTCATTGAGGGCCTTCCTCTCTTTCGCTGACCCTCCACCTTACCAAGCATGACATCCTTCTCCAGGGAATGGTCCCTTCTGATAACATGACCAAAGTAGGTGAGACAAACTCTGGCCATGCTCGCTTTCAAGGAGCATTCTGGCTGCACAGATTTGTTAGTTCTTTTAGCAGTCCGGGGTACTTTCAGCGCCAAAACTCAAAAGCATCAACTCTTTTTCAGTCTTCCATATTCATTGTCCAGCTCTCACATGCATATGAGGCAACTCAAAATACCATGGCTTATGTCAGGCACACCTTAGTCCTCAAGGAGACATCTTTGCTCTTCAGCACCTGAAAGAGGTCCTTTGCAGCCAATTTGCCCAGTGCTATATGTCATCTGGTGTCCTGACTACTGCTTCCATTGGTGTCCATCGTAGAACTAAACAATGTGAAGTCTTTGACAACTTCAATCTTTTCTCCATTTATTGTGATGCTGCTTGTAGGTCCAGTTATGAGGATTTTTGTTTTCTTTATATTGAGGTATAATCCTTACTGCAGATTGTATTCTTCCATCTTTTTCATTAAGTGCTTCAAGTCATCCTCACTTTCAGCAAATAATAGAACATCATGCAACACTAAAGAATAACAATGAACCTACAAAACAACTCCTAACTCGGATTATGTAGTAGACATTTATTTTATATGTACAGTATTTTGTTTCTAAAACGCTTCCACGTACACTTTTTGATTCTTACACAAATCCTGTTAAGTAGATGTAGAACTGAGGCTCTAAGGTAATGCATAATTCATCCAAACTCACAAAGCCATTAAAAGGAAGAAAAGTTAACAATAGCAACTACTGTATATTGAGGGAACCTGGGGGCACAGTGGTTAAGCTCTTGGCTGCCAACCAAAAGGATGGTGGTTCAAATCCACCAGCTGTTCCCTGGGAGAAAGATGAAGGAGCCGACTTTTGGAAAAATTACACCCTTGGAAATCCTATGGGGCAATTCTACTCTGTCCTTAGGGTCACTATGAGTCAAGAGTCACCTTGATAGCAATGGGTTTGGTTTTGGATTTTTATTGTATGTTGAGTGCTTACTAACTGCCAGGTATTACTAACCTTTTGAGGTCAGCATTATTATTGCTAGTTTTTTAATCTCTAAAATATAGAAGTCCAAGAAAGTAACTTATCCAAGATCATGCAACTACTAGAGGCAGAAGGAGGGGGATTTAAACCCAAACTATTGTGGTTAAACTCACACTCTTGAACATTACTTAGAAAAGTGCCTGGCACACAGTAAATACTCAAAACCTTAGCTTTAAAAGGCCCCAGGTGTGAATGACACGTAATTTCATCACAATGCCCCTTCCCCAAATGAGGAATAAACAATTAAGGTATCTGCCTCAACATTAACACTAGATTCTACTGATACATTCCAAACAAAGTAAGTTTCTTCATTGTCCCTCACATAGAAAGTCATTCCCACATCAATTCTTTCTTCATTAATCCTGTCTAAAACAGTCTTCATCCATCTTCCTACTATCAAAATGTTACCAAAAGAAAGAGAAAAGCAGTTCCTTACAATGAGGAGGAGCCCAGCACACAGCAAGGCTGTGCTGTTTTTCTGTTGAACATAAAAAAATCTCACAGATCACCAACATTAGATAAGGTCCTCTGTGACCACAATGTAATAAGTGAGGCAAAACCAAGCCACTCTGGAATCAACTCTGAGCACAGAAAAAACAAGGTCATCCATCAATGGATGACTGGATAAACAAACTATAGTATATACACACAATGGAGTATTACTAAAGAATAGCAATGAACCTACAAAACACCTCACAACATGGATGAACTTAGAGGGCATTATATTGAGTGAGATTAGCCAATCACAAAAGGACAAATATTGTACTAGACCACAGCAGTAAAAAGTCAAGAAAATGTTTACACATAGAAGGAATCTTTCTTTGAAGGTCACCAGGGGTGGGAGGGAAAAGGAGGGTAAATCATTAACAGTAGATGCACATTACCTTGGGTGAAAGGAAAGGCGATAGAGAGGTGAGCACAAAATGATCAAGGGAAAGGAAGACATTGGGAGGTGCTTAAGAGTTAAAGGCAACAAAGGTAAATATTATTACAAACACAATCCTGCAATAGTAATGACAATAATCTATGAGTGAACCCATAGATAGAAACTCAAGTTGAACAGGGGTGGGAAGGCAAATGGGACCACTATACCCACAAATAGGTTGGACAGAGGATATTTCTACATATGTATTTACATATGCTGCAATATAGTATGAATATAGTAGAGCATCCAAAACCAAATTCACTGCCGTCGAGTCAATTTGACTCATAGCGACTCTTCCTTAGGTTTCCGAGGCAGCATCTCTACGGAAGTAGACTGCCCAATCTTCCTTCTGAGGAGTGGCTGGTGGGCATACAACAGGGCAAAGTTCTGAAAACTAATTCTTAGCCATAACCAAACACTTGAGCAAATGAGTTGCTAGGCCTGAAGGTTCAGAACCATTGCCTTGGTGTGTGTGTGTTGGGGAGTGGGGGATGAGACAACAGGAGACACACATACACCTCAAAAGGTCAATTGGTATAACATATTCCACAAAAACAATGTTCTACATTACATTCTGGTGAGCAGCAACTGGGGTCTTAGAAGCTTGTGAGACTCCATCTAAGGTGCAACTACTGGTCTTTCCCCTTCTGGAGCAAAAGAGAGTGAAGAAAATCAAAGACACAAAGAAACAGTCCACAGGGCTAATGGACCACATATGTGACCTAGTCTCCATGATCCTGAGACCAAAAGAACTAAATGGTGCCCAGGTACCACCACTGACAGCTCTGAAGTTAATCATAGAAGGCATTTGACTGCTAACCAGAAGGCTGGCAGTTCAAACCTACCAGCCAGCCACTCCATGGAAGGAAGACTGGGCAACGTAATTCTGTAAATATCTACCACCTCGCAAACTCAATAGGGGGTTGCTATAAGTCGGAATTGACTCAATGGCAGTGGCTTTTTTGGGGGGGGCAGAGTAGGAGAAAAATGTGGAACAAAACTCAGAATCATTGTGGTGTAGTAAATTACTTAGTGTGGCTTTTCTACCCATAAGTCTTTGTAAACTCCAAGGTGGGATTTTCTATGAGCAACTGAGGAGCTCCTGATTGCTGAAGTTGTCCACCTGGAGTATTTGTTGGGCGTGGCACAAAACAATGTTCTGGGAAGTGCCCATTCTCTCTCAGGTGCTTAGAGTTCTGATGCTATGATTGGCTAGTTTGACCACGCTGCCAGGCTCAAAAGGAGGCCTCCTAGAGGTAGAACTCTCTGACTGCTGGTTGAGGAAGACGTGCTACTGAAAGGGACACGGGCTCCTGAGACACGCGTTGCTGGGAAAGAGACGCAAGAGACACGCATCGCTGAGTGAGACACCGAGGGACCAGCACTGCTGGGAAGGAGACTGTGAGAGACTCTTGGCTGAGGGACGGTGGGCTGGGAGAGAGACTGAGCATTTATTTCTGGAACTTGAATTGTAGCCTGTGGTGCTTCCCTAATAAACCCCATAATCTGTGAGCTCTGTGTGGCCACTGCAG